TCCAACCATTCACTTGGGGGGGGGGGAGACAGGTTTAGTTTAAGTCAAACGTTTAGAAAGACCTTAGCTTCTCCCCTCGGCTCCGCAATAATAAAAATTATCAAATGTGAGGCGTGCAGACAAAATGAGTTACTTCTCGCGATCCAAGAATGGAGATATCGGGCGAAAATCAACACTGGGGTCAGATTTATAGATTTTCAATTGACGCCATTTTGTTCAAGTCTACCGTGTCTTTTATTATTTCACACTTATAAATTGCACAAACTCCACATATAAAGTTCGTAATCGTGAGATTGCGAGTTCGGGGGTTCGAGCCTCAGCTCGGTCCGACGTTGTGTCCTTGGGAAAGGCACTTTACACGAACTTCCCACTTGGCTCGGTCCTATCGGAGACGGACGTTAAACTAGGAAATCCCGCCCCTTAAATAACCTAATAGTGTTGATAGGGGCGTTAAACCTATACCACTTTCACATATAAAGTTGATGCATTAATTTACATACGGCTAAAATCCTAAAGAAGTAACTCATTTTGTCACTCATTTTTGCCTCCCAAATTATAAAATTATTGTGAATTAATATTGATAATGAATATATGTATTATGATTATACAATTATTGTGAATTAATATTGATAATGAATACATGTATTATGATTATACAATTATGGTGAATTAATATTGATAATGAATACATGTATTATGATTATACAATTATTGTGAATTAATATTGATAATGAATACATGTATTATGATTATACAATTATTGTGAATTACTATTGATAATGAATACATGTTTTATGATTATAAAATTATTGTGAATTACTATTGATAATGAATACATGTATTATGACTGGTCTTGTCGCCGTACCTTCTTCTGGTTGATCCGGTGTGACGTCTAACTGCACCTCTAGGGACGTGGTCTCTTCCACGATCTGTTGGCGAGTGGTCTCCAAGGTCACCTCTTGGCTCACCTCAGTGAGCTCTTTGGTCACTTCCGTAACTTCTTGGCTCACCTCGGTAACCTCTTGGCTCACCTCAGTGACCTCTTGGCTCACTACGGTGACCTCTTGGCTGACCTCTTCAGGGCCTTGGGGTGCAGCTGTGGGGAACAGATCAGAGATGGGGTATAGGTTACCATAATGCGTTAGTCAGTTTGAAACCTTGGGTTCTCAGCTTACAACATGTATTTGTGAGCTTACGGGTGGGGGCAGCTTTTACTAACAACTGTGTGTGTGTGCGTGTTTGTTTGTGTGTGTGTGTATGTGTGTGTGTGTGTCAGTGTGTGTGTGTGTGTATGTGTGTGTGTCAGTGTGTGTGCAGGTGAGGGAGGGAGACTCAAATACATATTCACATATATACAGATTGGGAGTGAGAGCACATAGAAACAAGAGAGAGAGAGAGAGAGAGAGAGAGAGAGAGAGAGAGAGAGAGAGAGGGAGGGAGGGAGAGAGAGAGAGAAAGAGAGAGAGAGAGAGAGAGAGAGAGAGAGAGAGAGAGAGGGAGGGAGGGAGAGAGAGAGAGAGAGAGAGAGAGAGAGAGAGAGAGAGAGAGAGAGAGAGAGAGAGAGAGAGAAAACAACAACGGAGAGAGAAAGAAAGAGACAAAGAAGCCGAATGGAAGGACATTTATTTATAAACAACAGCATGTTTATACCAATAAGAGGTATGGTATAATTTTGCGGACAACCAGAGTGAAACTCTTACCAGACCAGCCTTAAGTACAGACTACAGGGAACGGCACGGGCGCACGGGAACAACAACACGGTCTCGGCTACATGTTTATTGAGACTGACGCAGAAACACGTCAAAACAGCGCACCCAAATGCTTTGGCAACAAAACGAAACAAATTTATTCCTCTTTGATGGCACATTGGTCCATGACGTAGCATTATGCTCCGACATAGGAGCAAAGCAACACAGACATACAAGTGAATGCAACATGAAAATAACATTTACACAGATAGCTTCTTGAGATCGCTCTCAACAATATAGCTAGACTATACATATTATGACTGATGTCAAAAATAATATACATATTATCCAACATTCACCTTAACAAAGCTGGCTACTAAATATTATTCACCAGAGAATGCTAATCTTAAGCACCTGCCTTTTCAAAAGTAATACGTCTCTAACTAGGCTTTGTGTAAATTATATGAATATGAATTTACGAATATCGTTTACACTGTTAATATTATGTTTAATTAAATTTAAAAACAAACAAACAAAAAACCTCACGAAATCGGAGGCGACACCAAAAAAAAAAAAAGAAAAAAGGCAGAACGTGCAGTCGCCACGGGGGTTTGCCGCAGTGTGTAACTTACGTTTGACGACGATGCTAGCAGTTGATTCAACACGACCGACCTCATTGATGAGAACCACCTTGTACACGCCCTCATCCTCGGGGAAAACCTCCGGGATGACAAGGATGCTGGACGTCTCGCGGACCGTGATCTCGAAGTCTTCCGTCGACTCCAACTCTTCGTCATCGATGAACCACGTGACTGTGGGGGCGGGTTTGGCGAAAAACGACACCTCCATCTCCACGCGAGTGGACTCGAGAACCTCGATGTTCTTCAAGGTCTTGTAGAACTCGGGCGCCCTCCTGTCGTCCATCGTGACCTCCACGTCCACATCCGGGGCGTCAGGTTTCTCGTCGGTCAACTCTAATTGGGCTTCCACTGGGCTGCTGGCCTCCTGGGAAGGAATGGCCAGCTCAGCCTCAGTGTGAGAGTCTTCGGGGCGAAATTCTTCCACCACCACCTGGGTGTCCTCGGCAGTGACAGAGACAACAGTTTCCTCAGAGACGACAGAGGTGACCACCAGCGGGGCGTCTCCTTGCGTTATTTCCGCAGACACCTCAATGGTTTCCTGCTCTGGGGCCTCCTCCACTGGTTTCTCCTCCGTGAGCTGGGCAGTCGCCAGATCTTTCTCCTCCTCCACAGACTCATCAGGTTGAACAACATCAAGCTCGGCAGAAATTTCTTCTGGGGCCTCTGGTTGGTCCAGAGCCTCGTCCACAGGAGCTACAGCAGACACCTGTTGTGTGTCCACCGTTACTTCCGCTCCAGTTGTCTCAACAACTTCCTCTTGCGGCTGCGCAGGCTGCACGTCCCCAGGAACGTCTAGAACCTCTTCCAGGACAACGTCAGCCTTCTCCACATCGACGTCGAACGTGGTTTTATCCGTTACAGAAACGGTTTCTACCGTCTCCTCAATAATATCCTCGGTGGGTTTCTCTTCTTCAATGACAACACTAATTGGCTCAACTTCTTCTTCTGAAGTCTGAGCCGTGAACTCGGCCTCTGTGGGCTGCTGTGGTTGGATATCGATAGTCTCAAAAGTCTCTGCGATCACTTCTTCTTTCGGTACTTCTTCATCAATGGTCTCTGAAGTAACCTCCACTTCTGATGCAGGGACTTCCTCCTCAGTCTCCATCACTTCTTGCGGTTTCTCATCCACCAGGACAAAGTCCTCGGTCTCCGCGGACACTTCCTCCGGCTGAGTCACGTCCTCCGAGATGTCCTCGGGGATCTCGTCAGTCTCAGCTTCCTCGGTCACCGACACCACCTCTTCTACCTCGTACGACGGTTGTTCTCCCAGGGTGGCAGACTCCTGCACCTCTTCAACCGTTTCCTCTGTGGTGTGCTCAACTTCCTGTTCCTCCACGACCTCAGTCGTGCTGGGAGTTTCCACCAACTCGAACGATTCCTCAGTTCCGTACGGCTGTTCTTCCTCCACCTCCACCACGTCCCGAGTGTCTTCAACAACTTCTTCTTTGGAGATTTCAGTTTCCACATCGACAGCTTCTTCCACTTCAATCATCTCAAAGTCTTCTTCCACAACTCCAACTTCTTGGGGTTTCTCGTCTTCGATGACAATTTCTTCCTTGATTGCTTCAGTGATCTGTTCTTCCGTTCTTTCGAAATGTACAGTTGTAGTTTCTGTGGTCTCAGACACGTCAACGTCTTCTTGAACAGTTTCCACCTCTTGAGGTTTCTCCTCTTCAACCACAAAGGTCTCTCTCGTTTCTTCAACGACTTCCTCCTGAGGCTGGTCAACTTCAACGTCCGTGGATTCTGTGGTCATAACTATCTCAACCTCTTCGCTGACTGTCTCCACTTCCTGGGGCTTTTCAAATTCCACAGTGACAGTCTCCTTCTGAGTTTCAACATCTACTTCTTCAGGTTTCTGGACATCTACCTCAACAGTCTCTTCGAAAGTGGAGGTCTCGACTGTTTCCTCTGTCTCCTCCACATCTTGAGGTTTCTCTTCTTCGACCACAAAGGTTTCTCTGGTCTCCTCGATAATCTCTTCTTCGGGTTGATCCACCTCAACCTCAGTGGACTCTGTAGCGATGATCATTTCAACCTCCTCGCTCACAACGTCCACCTCTTGTGGTTTTTCAAACTCGACAGTCACAGTTTCCTTCTGAACTTCAACATCTTCTTCTTCGGGTTTCTTGATTTCTACCTCAATGGTTTCTTCAAATGTAGAAGTCTCAACTGTTTCCTCTGTCTCCTCCACATCTTGAGGTTTCTCTTCTTCGACCACGATGGTTTCTCTGGTCTCCTCGATAATCTCTTCTTCGGGTTGATCCACCTCAACCTCAGTGGACTCTGTAGCGATGATCATTTCAACCTCCTCGCTCACAACGTCCACCTCTTGTGGTTTTTCAAACTCGACAGTCACAGTTTCCTTCTGAACTTCAACATCTTCTTCTTCGGGTTTCTTGATTTCTACCTCAATGGTTTCTTCAAATGTAGAAGTCTCAACTGTTTCCTCTGTCTCCTCCACATCTTGAGGTTTCTCTTCTTCGACCACAAAGGTTTCTCTGGTCTCCTCGATAATCTCTTCTTCGGGTTGATCCACCTCAACCTCAGTGGACTCTGTAGCGATGATCATTTCAACCTCCTCGCTCACAACGTCCACCTCTTGTGGTTTTTCAAACTCGACAGTCACAGTTTCCTTCTGAACTTCAACATCTTCTTCTTCGGGTTTCTTGATTTCTACCTCAATGGTTTCTTCAAATGTAGAAGTCTCAACTGTTTCCTCTGTCTCCTCCACATCTTGAGGTTTCTCTTCTTCGACCACAAAGGTTTCTCTGGTCTCCTCGATAATCTCTTCTTCGGGTTGATCCACTTCAATGTCTGTGGACTCTTTGGTCAAAACCATTTCAACCTCTTCGCTGACAGTATCAACTTCTTGAGGCTTTTCGAATTCTACAATCACAGATTCCCTTTGAGTTTCAATATCCTCTTCTTCGGGTTTCTTGATTTCTACCTCAATGGTTTCTTCAAAAGTAGACGTCTCAACCGTTTCTTCAACTTCTCCAACCTCTTGAGGTTTTTCTTTTTCAACTACAAAGGTCTCTCTCGTTTCCTCAACGACTTCCTCTTGCGGCTGGTCAACTTCAACGTCCGTGGATTCTGTGGTCATAATTATTTCAACCTCTTCGCTCACTGTCTCCACTTCCTGGGGCTTTTCAAATTCCACAGTGACAGTCTCCTTCTGAGTTTCAACATCTACTTCTTCAGGTTTCTGGACATCTACCTCAACAGTCTCTTCGAAAGTGGAGGTCTCGACTGTTTCCTCTGTCTCCTCCACATCTTGAGGTTTCTCTTCTTCGACCACGATGGTTTCTCTGGTCTCCTCGATAATCTCTTCTTCAGGTTGATCCACTTCAATGTCTGTGGACTCTTTGGTCAAAACCATTTCAACCTCTTCGCTGACAGTATCAACTTCTTGAGGCTTTTCGAATTCTACAATCACAGATTCCCTTTGAATTTCAATATCCTCTTCTTCGGGTTTCTTGATTTCTACCTCAACAGTCTCCTCGAAAGTGGAGGTCTCGACCGTTTCTTCTGTCTCCTCCACATCTTGAGGTTTCTCTTCTTCGACCACGATGGTTTCTCTGGTCTCCTCGATAATCTCTTCTTCGGGTTGATCCACCTCAACCTCAGTGGACTCTGTAGCGATGATCATTTCAACCTCCTCGCTCACAACGTCCACCTCTTGTGGTTTTTCAAACTCGACAGTCACAGTTTCCTTCTGAACTTCAACATCTTCTTCTTCGGGTTTCTTGATTTCTACCTCAATGGTTTCTTCAAATGTAGAAGTCTCAACCGTTTCTTCAACTTCTCCAACCTCTTGGGGTTTTTCTTTCTCAACTACAAAGGTCTCTCTCGTCTCCTCGATTGTTTCTTCTTGCGGTTGGTTCATTTCAACGTCAGTTGATTCCTCTGTCAAAACCATTTCAACCTCTTCGCTTACAGCGTCAACTTCTTGGGGTTTTTCAAACTCAACCGTCACGGTCTCTGGTTGGCGATCCAAAACTTCTTCTTCCGCTTCCGTGAGATGTACTTCCACACTATCTGTGACAGAAGACTCCTCTACGGTTTCTTCAACTTCTTCCACCTCCTGTGGTTTCTCAAACTCAACAGTGATGGTCTCTTTTGTTTCCTCAGTTGTGTCTTCCTGAGGCTGATCAGTTTCCACCTCTGTGGTTTCTTCAACAGTGGAGATATCTACGACCTCAGTGATTACTTCCGCCTCCTGTGGTTTCTGAATGTCAAAGGAAATAGCAGTGGTGTGACTTTGGGTCGTTTCCACTTCCTGTTTGTTAACATCAAACTGGAAGGTCTGTTCAAAAATTGCAGTTTGTTCCGTTGTCTCGACTTGTTCTTCTGGCTGTTGCTGAACTTCAAACGTTGTTTCTGTAGTTTCAGAGGAAACATCGAACTGAATTTCGGACGTCGCCTTCTGGGAAATTTCAAATGTTTTGGTAACTGTCTCAATTTCTTGTGGTTTCTGGAAATCAAAGGTAACAGTTTGTTTGTGAGACTCGACTTCCTTCTGTTTATTTATGTTCAGTTCCAAAGACTCTTCGAAATGAGGAACTTCTTCCTCTTCCTCCTCCTCCTCAAACTCTTCTGGTTTCTCAGTAACCACTACCGTGTCACGAGACACCTCAATGATTTCCTCTTCAGGCTGGTCAGTCGTCACATCTGTTGATTCTTCTGTAGCAGAAATCTCAACAATTTCTGTAACTTCCTCCACTTCCTGTGGTTTCTCAAACTCAACAGTGATGGTTTCCTTGACTACCTC